CCCACCCGCCTCTTCCCCGCCAATGATCTGTATGACAACAGCAGCAGCAGCACAAATGGAAGGTCAGTACAAACATGTAGTTTCCAACATATACCATTTCAGCCGGAAGAATTTGAAAGACGCGTGCTTTTAACTGTCTACGGTTGAGTAATCCTTTTTCATCAAAAGAAGCAAATGAAAGAATTCAGCCCAGCTATACCCGAAACGGGTCTGAAAACAGATGTGAGGGATTTGAGCAACAAGATTAGTAGATGAACGTGAGATGGATTTTGGTTAAAAACATGAAGTTTTCAAGATGGTTAGGTAGCCTGACAATGTTAAATTCTACACTCAAGATTCAACATTCTACAGCTATTTGAACATAATTGTCCATACCAAAGAATCTCACACAGAACCTCGAGCTCTTTGAACGTTATGTAGACTTGTAAATTCAACAGATTTTCAATTAGAAACAGTTTTGGGAAGAGAGAGGATACAGATAAGCAATGTCTCCTCTCGGCGTCGTGTGTAGAACTAATGGTTTTGACTTCCAACCTGGACATATAAACTTACCAAATTTTGGGAAACCCAAAAAAGTCGAAATTTGGAAACGAACCCTAGAATTTGATCAAGAACTTGATGGTGTTTCTAACCGTGATTCGAGAAATGTAGAAAATTTAGCAAGGAAGGGTCCTCGCAATTCAATACCCGGCGAGAGTCATGACGGCCTGAGCAGACCGGAAACCGCCGCGACGCTTCGACGGGAGAGAGCAACGCACGGCGGACGAAAAGCTTAGGCCTTTCCGTGTCCGAAGAACGACAGGACAAATGGGTCTCGAGAACTCGCGATCCTCGACGAACCCAATTGACGCAGGGGACGAACAAGATGAACACGATCTCAACAATGGCGCCTCCATCGTTAAACCGGAGACGGAGGAAAACAGAGATTCGAAACAAAAAAAAGGGAGTGTCAAATGGAAAAAACGCCAGAAAGAAGGAAAAAAGCAGACGACGACTGAAGGAAAAGACGAAACCTCATCTGCAGGGGAAAGGAGTTGCGTTTTGTACGAGGGAATGAAAGTGGTCGCTCCCCGGTTCAGGAACTCCAGTTTCGGTTCGGTTTATGAGGTTTTGGAGTCAGTTTCCGGTTTAGTTCGGTTTATTCGATTCGGTTAGATATTAACTTCTTTTAGCTCATTTGGATGGAATTAAGTGTTTATAATAATAGTCTTTGATTTATGGCTTCAAGATTTAGTTTTAGGTTTTTGTCTTTGACATTTTAACTTTTTCAAATCCAAATAAACCAAAAAGTTTATGAATATCACTCAATTCTTTGATGAAAAATAAAACTCATTCAAAACTCCAAATTCTCCATTGGATTCGATTTTAATATATCAAACCAAAATCCAAATAAAATGGAGAATCCGTACGACTAAATAGAAGAAATGACCCAAAAAAAAAAATATAATTTACGTCTCTTCTATTGTCTTTTTTTCTTTTTCTTTTTTTTTTTACCAAAAAAAAAAAGAGTATTCAATCCATGTCGCCGTGGGGGTAGCGCGAGTGCTATTGGGCTTGCCAATAGATCCAACAGTCATGAGCTTTGTGATAAAGTTATTGGGCCTCAAACTCCCTCTTTAGGCTCATTTTGATATCGGAAGTTTTAAATTCATTAGAAAAATGAATCAGCCCCACAAACAAAATTAAAACGTCCAACTTTACCTGTGTTACTGTTTCCTGTGAAAAATTAAAGAATAACTAATTTGGCTAATAACCCAACCAATTCGAATGGAGTAATCAAACCAAATTTGACCTAATGATTATTATTTCTCTCAAAATTTTAAAAAATAATCGAAAAGATCTATTTTTTAAAAATAAAATATTTTTATCAATAAAAACAAATAATTGAATTCGATATGAAAAATAAATGGTTATAATTTTTATAAAATCGAAACAACCAAATTCAAATATAATTGAACCGAAACGAAATGATCACGACTGGTGCAGTGTAGACCGTTTCAATACATGACGTGAGTTGTTAGAAAAACGTTACACGTGCGGTCGGGACAGATTTGATTCATTTGAACGTGGGATTCGTTCGGCCGGCCTAACAAATTGACATTTAAATAATATTTAATTGGTGAATTAATTATTCATGATGGACCGATTTCGCCGTTATCTGTGTATGGCCTCAGCAGATTGGCTACTGGCACACACTTCCAGAGAATCTCTCCCTAGCAAATATCTCCGTCTCCGATTTCCACCGACGAACCCAGGCCCGATTCCAAATGGACCCTACCCGACAATCCGACCCGGTTTACGACGTCGTCATCCTCGGAGCCTCTGGCTTCACCGGCAAGTACGTCGTCCGAGAAGCCCTCAAGTTCCTAAACGCCCCGTCGTCTCCGCTTAAGAGCCTGGCTTTGGCGGGTCGAAACCCAACCCGGTTGACCCAGTCGCTCGAATGGGCCGCTCGCCCGAACCCGCCTCCCTCCGTTGCCATCCTCACCGCCGACACCTCCGACCCGGAATCGCTCCGTCGTCTCTGTCGCCAGACAAAGCTGATCCTCGACTGCGTCGGACCGTTCCGCCTCCATGGAGAACCTGTTGTCGCCGCCTGTGCCGAATCAGGGTACTCTGGCTTTTTTTTTTGTTGTTTCGTCGGGTGATTTGCGTTAGTGTAGTAACTGGGTAAGTTGAAAATTTCGGCGGTGGAATGAAATTCTGTGTCTGAAACACGTGACTTTGAACCAAGGAGCTTTGGTTCAAGTTTGAGTGATCTTGGGGTTTTAATCACGAGGATGATGATGATGATGATGACAGAGGTGTGAATTTATAGCTTTAAAACGAAAGAAATGACGTGAAGATTAATTTGGGGAGTGTTAGCTTGCTGTTCTTACCACCACTAGGGATCATTTATTTCATTGAGCAGACGCAACATTTGGAGATTAATAAGTGATCTGTAATTTGTTTGATGCTTTTGTTCTTGCACGTTCATGGTGTGTTCTTATGTATGATCATACTGAGTGAGGTCTTATTTCCTACCGTACAATGGTAGAAATCAGATGGCTGAAGATTCTTTGCCTGAAAATATGTTGCACTTTGGGAGGAACGATTGACAGAGATGAACGATAATTGCTCTGTAGCCAGCTTAGTCTCATTTTATATCATCTCCTGAAATGGTTTTACTAGGTGCGATTACTTGGATATATGTGGGGAGCCTGAGTTCATGGAGACAATGGAGGCAAAGTACCATGAAAGAGCCGCAGAAACGGGTTCTTTGATCGTTTCTGCCTGCGGTTTCGATTCAATACCCGCAGAACTGGGGTTTCTCTTCAATTCCAAACAGTGGGAACCGCCTTCTGCTCCTAACCAGATCGAAGCGTATCTCAGGTTGGAGTCCGACAAAAGGATTGTCGGAAATTTTGGCACATACGAGTCTGCAGTCTTAGGTGTAGCCAATGTGGCAAAGCTACAAGAACTACGGCGTTCAAGGCCAAGAAGGCCAAGGCCAGTGGTAAAGTATTCATTTTTAGATCATCTTCCTGTATATAGTTGTCTCTATTGGTTCAGTTTTGCTTTAGGTTTGAGATATATATGTCAAGCAAGTAGAGTATCGACGGGTTTGCCTGTTGTTTGAGCTGTCATTTGGATTGCCCTTAATTTTCAAGTTTTGTGTTCTGTTCTTTAGGTTTTGTCCAAATATGCCATTGTTTTTCTGGTTCTTGTCCCTTCGGTTGTAATTTTATTGTAAACACCTTTTTCTATATTCTGAACGTACATACTTGCAGATTCCTGGTCCTCCTCCAGCTAAGGGATCGGTAATGGAAAACCAGAAGAAGATTGGTCTTTGGGCTCTGAAGCTACCTTCTGCGGATGCGGTTGTTGTTCGGAGAACCCTCACAGCTCTAACAGAGAATCCAAGTGGACTCCCTGGGCTTAACGAGAACCCCGATGGGATACAAAAGCGCGAGGCGTTCTGGTCAACAATAAAGCCGGCTCATTTCGGGGTAAAGATAACATCCCATTCTTTCCTCGGGATATTCGGGTACATCACATTGGGACTGTCCCTTGGTCTACTCGGAAAATTCTCCCTCGGGAGATGGCTCCTTTTGAAATTCCCTTCAGTTTTCAGCCTTGGAGGGTTCCGTAAAAAGGGTCCAAGCGAAGAAGAAGTGGCAAGTGCTACATTCAAGATGTGGTTCATCGGCCGTGGATATAGCGATGGGGGAGACCTCGTTTCAGGAGGAAAGACGAAGCCCGATATGGAAATCGTTACAAGAATAACGGGACCCGAGATCGGGTATATAACCACACCGATAGCGCTAGTCCAATGCGGTTTAATCGTATTGGGGCAACGAGAAAGCCTAGTGAAAGGAGGAGTGTACACTCCCGGGATCGTGTTCGGCTCAACTGATCTCCAGCAGCGGCTTGAAGAGAACGGGATAACATTCGACGTGATTTCGAAGAACAAGCTCCAAGACTAGAGGTTTGCCATTCGTTGAGTTAACCCTGAATCATTTGCTCTCCTCCTTGCCTTTTTTTTTTTTTTGGTTTAGGTTCTGTCCAAACTTCAAGAACATGGATCAAGGTTGTGTCTTTCTTACAATAATAGTACCGCCCTTAATGTAGGTGGATGAATCAGTTGAATGAATATTATTAGTATGAAATGGTTATATGGTTATAACTCAACGATTTTGAATGCCAATTCGTTGACATAAATTATTCTTAGAACAGGTTCATAGCATACTACAGGGTACGTTTTCGGGTTACATATTACTGATTTTCTCACAGTTATTATAATAATTAATTATACTCAAGGAGAACAACAGCAGAGACGGCGAGGAGGGTTTCCGACAGGCATGCAAGCGCCGTTCTTGAAGTTCTGCTTAAGACAGTCCACCTGGCACGGGAAGTCTCCGTACGATCCATTGTCACACTCCTTGTAGCAGAATGGGTCCGCTGCTGCTTTAATCCCTTCCAAATAAATAATAATATTTATATATCTTTTTAATTTCAATCTATATACACTGACATAATAAAAATAATCGGACCAAATGTCGTTATTATAATAACTTACCATGTTTCACATCTCCACATTCAACGTGAACGAATACGATACTCGTAAATATAAGAAAAGCAACGAAACACGCCGTCGACGTCATCTTCACCAGATTCCTATTCACTTGTAGTATTTTTGTTATATATATATATATATATATATATATATATATATATAAAATCGATGTTTGTTATATACAACAATGGAATTTTTTATATTTGCATTAGTTTAATGGAATACGTTCTGGTTTTTGTAATATTTCTGATAAGTAACCTTAAAAAATATATATTTCCGAGAAGTAAATATGAATGTTTCCGATATTTTTTGGATTTCGTAATGCCCTTGCAACAAAAAGCCAAACATTTCGTACACTTTCTTTAATTTGAATTATATTATTACAAATCTAGAAATTTCTATATATGTTTGATTATGATACAGAGCATTTGACTAGGTTCAGATGTATTATTGGTCAATGGTCATATTACTATATTCATGTATTTTAATTTGAAAATGTCGTGATTTTTTTTCCAGAAGAGATATCGGATGACGTAATTTAAAGACGATGTCTAATTATTTAAATATTTTTGGTTGAACGAATTCCTTTTTTGTTTTAAATTTCCATTTTTTCTGTTTTTACGGTTTCGAATATTTATTTTAAAAAAAAAATCAATATATTGTATTTATATGCGATTACGATTAGGTTTAAATATTATCCTAGTTTCTAACCGGCCTATGATTTAGGATTTATAGTTTAGTATGTAGAATTTAGAATTGGTTGAGGATCTAAGGTTGGTTTTAGAGATTATAACCCTAGAGGTTCCGTTTTAGGATGCAATATTTTATATTTAGGATTATGGATAAATTAGTAAGAAGGAAAAGGAAAAAAAAAGAAAGAAGTTTGAAAAACCCATCAAATCAATGGTCAATAAAATAATAGGAGGGTATATAAACTAAAAGTCGTGGAAATATATATATATATATATATATATATATATATAGTATTAGGGTTTTAATGTATTGGCGGAGAATGAATTCACATAATATTTTCTATTATAAAATATTAATGTCAGACAGATTTTGCTAATACCAATAAAAAAATATAAATAATGAATCTTGATCAAATTATTGGGATTATATTTTTATACATCATAATACGCTGCGATTGTACTAAATTAGTTTTTATATCTTAATATTATGGATAACAATCAACTAATTGTATTCATGCGTACATGGTTTTTGCTATACTTTATTATATCAATGAACACGGAACATTGTGATCAATGTAACTATCATGTGATCATAATATTGTTCTGATCACATAGTCATATCTAGAGGAGGGTATATGCAGAAATAGATTTAGCAAAAATAGGGTATTTTGGATATTTTGTCCAATGAACACTAGTTAGGCTTTTTTTTTGTATGTTTTTCGCCTTTTTATTATAATATTTGTTGCATATGTCAATTTCATCGATTAAAATTGGAGACTAACTCAATGAGTTTTTGTATGGAGTGAAGAAATTGAAAGCGCTTAATAGCAAATTCTATGATTGAAATCTTAGCCTCTTTTGGTCCCTCTCTCTTATGAACATTATTATATTCAAAATCTATTATGAATATATCGAGCATAAGAGTGTATCGGATGACGTAATTTAAAGACGATGTCTAATTATTTAAATATTTTTGGTTGAACGAATTCCTTTTTTGTTTTAAATTTCCATTTTTTCTGTTTTTACGGTTTCGAATATTTATTTTAAAAAAAAAATCAATATATTGTATTTATATGCGATTACGATTAGGTTTAAATATTATCCTAGTTTCTAACCGGCCTATGATTTAGGATTTATAGTTTAGTATGTAGAATTTAGAATTGGTTGAGGATCTAAGGTTGGTTTTAGAGATTATAACCCTAGAGGTTCCGTTTTAGGATGCAATATTTTATATTTAGGATTATGGATAAATTAGTAAGAAGGAAAAGGAAAAAAAAAGAAAGAAGTTTGAAAAACCCATCAAATCAATGGTCAATAAAATAATAGGAGGGTATATAAACTAAAAGGCGTGGAAATATATATATATATATATATATATATATATATATATATAAAATACAATTATTATAATTATAATAATAAATTAGATTCAAGGAGAGCAACAGCAGAGACGAGGAGAAGGGTTTCCGAAAGGAATGCAAACACCGTTGTTGAAGTTGTGCTTAAGACAGTCCACTTGGCACGGGAAGTCTCCGAACGATCCGTAGTCACACTCCTTGTAGCAGAATGGGTCCGCTGCTTCTTTAATTCCTTCCAAAAATATAATAATAATATTTATATCTCTCTTTTTTTAAAAAAAATTTCAACCTATATATATATAGAAGTACAACATTTATGCAATAACAAAAATAATCGGACCAAACATCGTTATTATAATAACTTACCATGTTTCACTTCTCCACATTCAACGTGAAAGAATACGACACTCGTAAATATAAGAAAAGCAACGAAACTCGCCGACATCTTCATGATTCCTATTCACTTGTAGTAATTTGTGTTTTTATATATATATAATCGATATCATTAGCTTGGGTAATGCGTCTATATTTATAACATAGAAGCCGAGTACAATAATGGAAATTTCTTGTATTCGCATTAGTTTAATGGAATAATACGTTTTAGTTTTTGTAATATTTCCAATAATTTTTTTTTAATTTGGTGATGCCCTTACACCAAAAGAAGGACAAAGTTTAATGGGGTTATATAGATCTATGTGAACGAAATTGAACACTTATGTATATATATATATATATATATCTTAAAAAAGTTTTTGTAGTTTGAGAAAAAAATATAATAGCCATATATTTATATAGAAAGAGTATCTCCAAAAATTAAACCAAAACATTTGTACATTTTTTTTTTCTGATTTAAATTATATGATTATAAATCTAGAATTTTCTAGATATTTGATTATCATAAAATAAAATATTTCTAGATTCGGATGTATTATTGATCATATAAAAGAACTGCCACCCACAATCAAAACAAATTCTTGGACCCTAAGCATAATAATACTATATTCATTATTCTATCCAAATATTATACCTTGACAAATGTCGTGATTTTTTTTTTCAAAAAAAGAAAAAAAGAAAAGGTAAGAGGGCATGAGATAACATAATTTGGAGCCGACTTCTCGTTATTTTAAATAATTGTTCTTTTTCCTTTTTTCCAAGTTTCCTATTTTATTTTCACAAGAAAAAGAGAAGTGGACCCGATGTTTGGCTTGGTCGCGAGGGTCGGATTAATTTGGTTAATAACCAAATAATCAATCAATTTTAACCGAATAATATATAATTATAATCGAGTTAAATCCAAAATAAAAATTGAATAATTTTATGGTTTCTGTAAAACCCAAAAACCGGATCCGAATCGATTAAAAATTAACGAAAAAACCGAAAAATTTAGTTAAAAAATGAATATTTGAAAACAAAATAAAATAAAATCAAATATTTGAATTTAATATAAAAACTAAATGATTATAATTTTTCTGAAATGAAAATAATCAAATCCCAACCGAAATGCACCACGTATTAGTTGGCGTCGGATTTATACATTTTAGAAATATTTATATGAGCATAATGCATACACAAAATATCATATGCTTGCGTTGTAGGGCAGAGGTGTACATAAATTGGTGGGGGCGTGCTTTCATGAAAATAATTGCATTAGCGGTTTCAGCTTTTTTTTCCCTCTCATACGGCAAAAGGGCCTTTTTAACTCTATCATTCAATTTATCCGTGGACAAAATTAATCATTTTTACCTGATCTTGGTCGCTCAACCGGTAAAAAATAGGGTAAAACTTTTTTCCCACATCTAAATTTTTTCGATTTATTGAGAGATATACTTAGGACAAAACTTGGTAAACTTCCCCATTATAAAAAAATCAACCATTTTTTTATCCTTCTTGATCAATTGGATTTTTTTTCCGTTATCCATTTATACGAATTTTTAGAATTTGACAACATAATTATAAATATATATTTATATGTATTAAAATTATAAATGTATTTTTTAGCATTTTCAAAAGAAATCACAAAATTATCTTTATTTTTTATAATTAAAAAATATTCTTAATTTATGAATTTTTTAAAAAATATCTTTAATTTGAACTCTTTCTTTATCTTCATTCTTTTTTCTCATTTTATTATTCTAACTAACCTAAACTCTAAATCCTAAATCCTAAATCCTAATTTCTAAATATTAAACTCTAAACCAATATTAAAATGTGTGATTTAAGGTTTATATTTAGAGTTTAGAGATTAGTGTTGAATAGTTAGAGTTTAGATTTTGTGATGTAATAATTAACTTTGACTAAGTAGGAGCATAGAACATAGCATCCTCAAGCCAAACATTTTGTACACTTTCTTTAATTTAAATTATATTATTAGAAATCTAAAAATTTCTATATATATTTGATTATGGTACATGGCATCTCACTAGATTCAGATGTATTATTGGTCAATTGTCATATTATTTTATTCATGTATTTTAATTCGAAAATGTCGTGATTTTTTTCTAGAAGAGAAAAGAGTGCATCTGATGACGTAATTTAAAGACGATTTGTCCTTATTTAAATATTTTTTGAACAAATTCCTTTTCTGTTATAAATTCCCATTTTTTCTGTTTTTACAGCTTCAAATATTTATTTTTTTTAAAATTTAATTTTTGTTATTGTATTTATATGCGATTATGATTAGGTTGAAATATCATTCCATTTTTTTAATATCAATTTCGTTTTATAGACGATTATTTTAAGTTCATATTCGACTATATTTGCCAATCTATCACAATTGGACATGTTCCTACCGGACTGGTCGGTTCCGGTCAAGGATATAATTGTTTAAACCGGAACTAAACCGAGCATGTGGTCATTCAGTTTTCAGCCTCCCCTCTCCCTCTCTCTCTGTATCTCTCTGAAATCTAGGAATGCTAACTTATTAAATGAAAAGATCGTGGGAATCCCTCTAGGAAACCTGAAACGGACGCGGAAAGCGAAGGGAAGAAGCCCCACCAGAGAAAGAACCCAAAAGCTGAAGAAGAGAAAACAACAGAGGAACCAAAAAAGAAACCCTCAAAAGCCAACAGTTGAGTTGCTTGCACGATCTCTCCGAAGCAAGCAGAGAACCTCAAGCAAACAATGACCCAGAAAAAAAAAAGGGAGAAGAAAAAGCAAATTCTGTAGCTTTTTAGTCTCCGTCGTCACCCACAATCTGATTCGTCTCTGCTAAAGTTTCAAGCTTTCTGCTTTCTGCTTTCTGCCCAAGCAGTTCACCGACAGGTGAGAGTAGTTATATGGTTTCCCATTTGTCCCGCGAAGTTTTTTATTCGTGTTACGAGGTTCTTTGGTTGAAACACGAGATGGGTTTTTGATTTTCTTGGGATTTCACCATAATTTTTTCCTTCATGCAGTCGGATCTTATCCGTGGAAATGAAAAATGCGTTTGTTTTCCTAATTGTCTTACGAGATCTAGAGAATGGGTTTCCTTCAAGTTGAAACTTTCGTGGAGTTGGTTAAGAAAGAACCATCCTTTGAGAAGAAGTTGGGAGTGGACTTTTCGATGAATCGGTTGCTTCAGAATGTTTCTTCCTCTGGGAATCTCCGGATGATCATTTTCAGAAGAAACAGGAAACCGACCTTTACTGGATTATCCATTTCTTAGAATGTGGGATTCCTTTGTTAATTGGGTTCCCTTCTGTTTTGAATAATTAGGATATCTCTCCTTGCTTCTAGCATTTGGGTTTACACAGTTCCATTTTATGTTTGGTTCTTGTTCTTTGTTTTTTGATAGTACAAGGCTTTTGCAGTTTGATCTACTTTGATTGGAGATGGATTGCTTGCTTTGAGGTTTCATGACTTCTCTAAAATATGGTTTGTTTGCTATATAGTTCTCATTCTTGGTTGATACCTTACAGATCTCTCAGATTGGATCTCTCTACTTACTCTTATCTCCCCTGTTCATCGCTTGGTAATAGTATCAAGCTGTTAACTTAACATTGGTTTCATTGTTCACAATATGTTTTCAGGTGTTTTCTAACGGTTTAAGTGGTAACCAATTGCCTCTTGTCGCTGCATCCTGATGGACGAGGAGACTGCTAGTCCCTTTCGAACACCCGAACGGATGAATAAGCAAGAGGATAATAAACCGAGAAGAAACTCTGCTGGGAAGGTAATGTCCTCAGATGGTAAACAGAAAGAGCTCCCTCGTTATCTCAGAGCGTCGACAGGTTCATGCCATGATCTCTGCAAGTATGGGAGGAAAAATGTGTCTGAGGAAAAACCGTGGCGTTCCAAGGTTAAAAAGACTGTCAAGAAACTTCCTGATGGCATGAACGAATCTTTTAGCTCAGGGTCTTCTGAGAGGAAGAGGGTGATGGCAGTGAAGATGAAACAGGAGCTTCATTGTTCAGATGATGCTTCTGAGATTATAAAGAGAGAGTTAGTGAAGACAACAAAATCCAAGCTCAAATCTTCTCCTGTTTCGGGATCCCAGACATCTGGAAATGCCAATACTACTGAGAAGCAGAAAGTTGTGTCAAAAAGATCTCATTCAGGACGAGCAGCTAAGAAATCGAATGACACTAACCCGACACATGTGCAAGTTTCTTCACCAGGGCTGAAACCGCTGAAGGGGAAGGCCAGTCGGGGAAACGACAATGATATGAAGATAGAGAAGAATATTGGAGCATCCAAAGTTGTTTCAAAGAAAGTGTCTTTAACCCCGAGAGCTTCATTTTCCTCGAAGCCGTCGATCAGATTAGCTGGAAATTCAAGTCTGAGGAAGAGCCAGAGCTTGAAAGCTTCATCTTCTCCACCAAATCAGAAACCAAGCAATGTGCAGTGCAGTGATGAGCCTAAGCAGTTGGATAGTTATCCGCTCGAGGAGAAAACATTGCACGTTGTGGAAATGGAAGCGGAGAACTACAAGATTGCAGAAGAACATGATCCCAATGAGAAATTATGCATTGCCGACCCGTCTCCTCCATCGTCATCCTCGACTCAAGAAGACGAGGATGTAGGAGAATATGAAGAGTATACAGTATCAGAAGCAGAAGGGCACGATTACCAATCTCAGAGCGATGAGCCCGAGACTGCAGAAGAAGAGGACGAGACTTTGGATGGAGAGGAGAAACCAAGGGGAAGAAATGAAGGAAAATCTGCAGACGAAGCACAAAAGTTACATTTCAGAAGAGGAAGGGTTGTGGATGTAAATTCCGAGAATGGCAAACCGACGAGGCTTAAGTTTAGACGAGGAAGGGCTCTCGGGGAAAACCAAACTCAGAATAGCCATGGAAGGAGGAGCTTTAAGAAGGTAGAACATGTTGCAGAAGACAATGATGAACATGAAGAGGAAAAAGTAGTGTTGAGGCATCAAGATGTGGAGGAGAAGAAAGATGGACAAGGATTGTTCAACAATGTCATTGAAGCAACAGCGAGCAAACTCGTTGAAAGCAGGAAAAGCAAAGTTAAGGCTTTGGTCGGAGCTTTCGAAACCGTCATCTCTCTGCAAGAATCAAAACCTTCTTCTAACTCTGCAACATGAACCCTAGAAAGAAACATCAGGAACGAACAAGAGAGGAAAGCTGACTTTGATCTTTGACAAGCTTTGTTCATCAGTGAGGTTTTTCCAGTAGTAGCAGTAGTGTTTGCTTTGGTTTCGGTTTCGGTTTCGGTTTGCGGAAACCGGCAATGTAAATTGAACCGGTTTGAATCCCCTCCGGTTTGCTGAACCTCAAGAAGATTGATACTTCACAGTTCACACACTCCTTATCTTTGGTATGTTTTAACATTCATTTGGTGTTTTGTGAATATGCTACTAAACCGACGGATTGTGTTTGTTTTCGGTTTTGGTTTTCTGCTCAATTTTGTTGGTTTTTCTCGGTTTTGGATTGGATTTGGTTCGGTTTGTATTCGTAGCATATCATTCTGTATTGGTTTTTGTCACTCATAACATCACAAGAATTTCAACCAAGACGGTGTTAAACCGGAATTGACATCAAACCTGGGTTTTATTATACGAAACAAAATATCCAACGCATTCCAAAGGGGGAGAGTTGGTACCAATGAGGGATTGCCACGTCATAATGACCGAATTGCCATATCAGCAGGTTGACCAATCGTGTGGGTTTGGAATCTTGTGTTTGGACCGTATGGTACACGTTTTTATCAATATTTTAAATTTGCGTATTGTTTTTTATTATCATATTATGATTATAACTAATTAATTTAATCTCCCCCTTTAATTCTCGACCGTACATCGAATAACAGTTAAAATCATCGAACCAATTGGCAACTGCTATTTTGCACCCCCAAACGACCAACCACTAGTCGCCAGCCACGCAAAATGAAATTGCTATAGTAAGCCACGTGTCTATTTACTATTCGTCCTTGATTTATGTCTGGAAACCGACTTGTAATTTTACTTAAACCGTCGAAATATTTAATTCGTTTTCCGCCTTTTGAGTGAATAGAAAAGCAAGTTTGAGCTCCTTTCTTCCTCCTCTTGTCTTCTCTCAGACTTGCCCTCCTGTCTCCGCATGCAGTCTTGTTCTTCATCTTCTCCTTCTTTGGAAAATTTTGGATCTTTTTGTTAGAGGGTTGTGTTTAAGCCAGTTCTATTTCTATTTTGTTGTGGATCTATTTGGAAAAAAAGAAGAAGAAAAATTGCAACTTCTGTGGCTCTTGCTCAAGCAAAACCCTAAGTAGTTGTGGGTCCTGCTCTGAATTCGCCTCTCGTAATCTAATCTCTGAAGCTCTTTTGATTTTTGGATCAGCGGATTCGTATAAACGAAGGTAAGATTTCTCTCCTTTTCTCATGGTGATCTTGCCCATTGTTGATTTTGGTGGTATTAGTCATCTCCCCGGGGAAAAATTACATTTTTATTGCTGATGTCGAGAATTGATTAGAGGAATCGAAGTGGGTACTATTTCATCATCTGTTTGTGGGTATGGATGGTTGTGTTGAAAATGCTCTTGCTTTGCTCTGAAGTGTGTTATGGATCTTGGTAAATTGGTTTTGGTACATGGGAACGCCTTTAACCAGCAAACAATGTGCTGATTAGTGTAATTGGAGATCCCCAAAGATGAATCCCTTGGATTCTGTAGTTTCATGAAGAGTGGGTATGAGGTGAAACCTGAAAGAGCAATGAATTGGCTTGATTGAGAAAACAGTGTTGCATTAGTGTGTATGATATGAAATTGCAATAAAATGTAGTTTAAGAATTCTCAAAGATGGCATACGAGGTGTCGCCTTTGGTCCGAGGTTTGTGAATTTGGTTAAGAGTACCCATTAGTTAAACATTTCTTGCTTTTTCATGTTTCCTTATTGTGAAACTTCTAGTTAGAATGTCCATTCTTAATGGAGTGACCACTGCTTTTGGTTTGGTAACTACAAGGGAAACCAATGCATCATCTCTAAACTCAGATCCCTCTTTATTTATCTGCCATTAGTTGTTCTACTGACTATATGGCTGCGATCAAGCTTTCCTGTAACGTATGATACCTCCTTTGAAGACTAATAGACTAGGATAACTTGTGCAATTTTGCTTCAATTAACTTCCTTTTTTTGTTTCTTGCTAGGTTGAGAAAAATGATAATAGCAAAGCAGTACCGCTGTATTCACTCAGCAAGCTGTCAGTGCACAAAAGGGCATCTCAGCGAGGATGTACTGTTCCTCATGTTTCAGCATCTGAACTGGAACCCTAAACTTATTGCAACTATGTCTTGTGTGTGTAAATGGTTTGATGATCTCGCCAAACGACTGCTGTGGAAGGAATTCTGCAGAGCTAGGGCGCCCAAAATGATGCTTGACCTCCAATCCAGTGGGAGCCACAGCATCGACGGGAACTGGAGGGCACTTGGGAAACTTCTTATTTACTGCTCAGGTTCAAGCAAGGGAGGACTCTTCAGCGATGTTCAAATCCCTGGTCATTTTGTTTACAGGACCCGTTTCTCTAGGACATCAGGAAAGAGCTTCCTTCCTTCACAATGCAAAACTGACGTTTTATACGTTTCTGATCCATGTGAACACCTTGATCAAGGGGAGGAGGGTGACTTGGGATTCTTCCGTGGGATTTTCAAGTCTTTTTCTGCGTCAAATGTCCGTAAAATGCTTATCAAGAAGGGGGTAACGTTCCATCCCACAGAGGTTTGCCCATATTGCAAGGCGAAACTATGGAGTATGCTTCAGGCTAAAATGATACCACAGACAGCTAGTTGTAGGTTGGGAGCCTATGAGGATTGCGTTGAATATTACGTGTGTCTCAACGGACATATGCTCGGTGTTTGTACACTCTTGCCCCTGTCTGATTCTGAGGAAGCATCCGAGCTTGAGTGACTACAAGAATGGAAATCCCCAGGTACCCTTTAGTGGAAATCTATCTGTTTTTGCTATGAAGTGTTCTGGTTTACGGTTATTTGGGACTTGGGGTTTAGCCTTGAAGTTCAGTTAAACTAATTGCATCTCCAAGCATTCGTCTCTGTTCTTTGAATGAAGATGCAAGTGCATGATAAAGCATGTCTACTTGCTCGGGTTGCCGTGGTTTATCTGATACGATATCTCTGTTTCTTGGACAGGCGTTTCATTCAATCATTACTGGATTTGGATTTCAGTTTATCGGTCTTTGCATATAATTGGGTGGTGTATGTATCGTCAGCCAGCGTCAGTTGCTTTGGGCAATCCATTATTTGACAGTCTGCATGTATATATATGAACAACACTTCGGAAGTTCGAGTTGAGTTTGAGGCATATCTTGTTGTCTTTTCATACTCTGTTTGGTCACATTTCTTGATGTAGCTTGTCACTTGTGTTCATAAGCGGTTTCCCTGCCTGTAATGAAACATCTCTGGAAAAATTATGATCTTTTGATAAAAACATCTCTGGTCCACAGTTAGTTTCTCAGGACACGGGGATACGTTCTGCTACTCTATTTCTCTGAAATTCTGGAGACATCCATATATCGGATATCCGATTTTCGGGTATACAATTCTGTGAAACATCGATTTCCAAAAATCGAGTGTCCACAGGTCTAATATTCACGGATACCCGATTTTCGGGTATTCATGCCCAGACCTATCAGCTTGATGTACTTCTCACCTCCACTAGACTATGACCCGGCATCTTTCTCAACCCAACACTTGTCATCATGTTTCTTACACTCTCCGCATCTTTCCATCTCCCCAGCGCCACGTAAATCTTTGCCAGCAGCATGTAGTTTCCAGTGTTTCCAGGCTCCAGCTCAAATAGCTTATTGGCAGCCATTTCTCCGAGCTCAGCATTCTCGTGTACTACACAAGCACTTAGCAATGCACCCCAAGTGGTCGGGCTAAGCCCAAATGGGACGGTTGTAATAAGATCGTATGCTTCTTTCAGTCGTCCTGCTCGACCAAGGAGGTCGACAATGCAAGTGAAATGGTTAGGCCGAGCTATCGTCCAGTGATGTTCGAGCATAAACTTGAACAACGTTAAACCTTCGTCCACCAGACCGGTATGGCTGCAAGCATGTAAGACTGAAGTGAAAGTGATTTCATTTGGCTTCAACCCAGACCGGAGCATTTCTCTGAGAGTTAGCAATGCATTAGGACCATCTCCGTGCATCGCGTAGCCAGAGATTAAGGCACCCCATAGAACTATATCTTTGCCCTTGTGTTTTCGTGGAATACCATCGAAGATCTTGTGGGCAGATTCTAATGTTCCGCACTTTGAGTAGACATCGATCAAACCTGTGGCAGCTTCAATGCTCGACATAAACCCAGATTTTGTAAGATAGCAGTGGATATACATTGCCTGATGCAAATCAGCTGCAACTGCAAAAGCTGGAAGGACACTGTTTAATGTAGCTATATTTGGTTCTACATCTTCCAACCGCATCCATTTGAATAGTTCTATTGCTTCTGTCATAAGCTGATTCTGAACACACCCAGATATAATCGCACTCCATATTCCGGTTAGCCTTTTCGAAGCTCCTGAAAAGACATTGAAGCAAAGGTCTATCCGATTGCATTTAGCATACATGCTGATCAAGGAAGTCTCTATTATGACCTCGGAATCAACCTCTTGCCTTACTGCCCGGCCGTGAAAACATTTACCACCATTCAGTTCGAATGCACTGCCACATGCTGAAACAAGAGAGGATATAGTCACAGTATTAGGCCTCACACCTTCAAGCTGCATTAATCTACACAAATCTAAAGCATTTCTCAGGTCACCATCTCCTATATACCCATTGATCATAGAAGTCCATGTGATTACATCCCTATGCTCCATCCTATCAAAGACAAATCTTGCCTCATCCATGCGATCACACTTCATGTACATGTCCACCAATGCGTTCTTCACCTCTAACTTATCCGCCAACCCTTTTTCTTCCACCAACTTATGAACCTCTCTTCCAATTTCCAAATCCTTCAAGTGACCACAAACTGGCAACAAAGAGACCATTGTGGCTCTGTCCGGTTCAACACCCTCGTAAACCAACCTATCAAAAATCATCAAAGCATCATTCATGAATCCATTTCTGCAATACCCACTAATCATCGTGTTCCATGAAATCACATCCCTGTTCTTCATAGCATCAAACACCTTCCTCGCCAATTCAACCCTCCCACAGTTCATATACATCCCCAACAATGAGTTCTGCACGTACTTGTCTGCGCCAAACCAGCCTCTCAAGATCCTCCCATGAAGAACCAAGCCCAATTTTACCGAATTCAACTGACCAGCCGCCTTCACAACAAAAGGGTAAGTATAACTATCCGGACAACACCGACCAACCATCCTAACAAACACATTAACAGCATCTTGATACAGCCCATCGCGCACGTACATTCTGATGGCGATGTTAAACGAAAGCAGGGAACTTTGAGGCAATTCATCGAACAGCTTCCGCGCATATGAGATGTGATCACACAAGGCATATGTAATGAAAAGGGACGACCGGAGGTGGTGAGAGAGATGACCGCCGGTGATGACGTGGCAGTGAAGCGCCTTGGTTTTGGAGATTGATTGAGTAGCTGCATAGTGATTCAAGAGAGATTGGCATTGTTTGATGGTTAGGGCGTGTTTGGCTTTGCCTCCTTTCATATAAACAACATTCATTCCCTTCAATCCAACGGTCGGGCCGGGTTTACAATAAAACGCGTCGCAAAGGAAATGCGTGCCGGATTGAGCTTTAAGACGTGAACTGCATGACGTCTATGAAGAAGCGAGTTGCAGACTTGGAATGCGTGCCGGTTCGAATTTCGAGACGCGGAGTGCTTGACGTCGTAAGAAGAAATGACTTGAAGACAACATGCATGCCGGAAACTATTTTGAGTCATGGAATGCGTGACATCTACAAAGATTCCTTCTATGTTTTTTTTCTTCTAATTTTAAAAAGTATTACAGTGAGAAGCACACTGGTCAAAAGCCTTTTTGAGTGCCCTCGATCTCCCAAATTCCTCCGCCGCAGAATTCATGGCGTCCCGCCACCACCACCGCGACCACGGCCGCTGCCACCGCCACAACCACCGTGAGAGCATCCCAATATCCGCTGCGATCTCGTCCACGCCATCGTGTCGCTGCTGCTCCGGCGACTACCGTCCCTGCTGCACCCAATCCGACCACCTTCCTCCAACGTCGTTGGATCATCTCCTTCGTCTCGTCGCCGCTTATCTCGAGGAACAGCTACAAGAAACGCAATGTGGTGATCAGACCCATTTCTGCGAAACCCGGTGTCGAAGCTTCAACGGGTTCAAAGGACAACGTTTTGTGCACCAGCAGAAGAACGTTCAACGAGAATACGACCATTTCGTCTTGTCTTGTCTTCTCCGGAAAATCGAAGATCTCGAGTTTTCGCTTAACCGGTTTTCGTCTTCTTCTTGCCATCGGCGCGGTTCCTACTTTACTGTAAGAGATTCGGCGGCGCGTGTGATTCAGATCCATTTCCGCTCTTACCTGGTTCGCAGATCCAGATCACTTTGGCAACTCAAGGAGCTTGCAATGATAAAATCTAGTTTCCTGTCTCTCAAATCTTCCGTTTCGGGCAAAACCCATTTCCCTTTCGAAGTAGTTTCTCGAGAAGCCATGGATTTGCTTACGCAGCTTGATTTCATTCAGGTGTCTTATTCAAAACCTATTTTTTCTTTAATTCTTCGAAGCTTTTTTTTTTTGTTCCAGGCTTTGAATTTGGTGTTATTTTTCCGATTCGTGTTCCTTCCAGAGCAGGGATGATCCGATGTTACGAGACGGGAAGAAATCACTGAGTAGAGATTTGGTAAGGTTTCTTGAGTACGTAGATGGTTGTGCTGTCAAAAGGCATGAGATTATCCTTAAACACGCAAAAGATACGAGCTTTATTGCTAGCAGCAGCAAATGTAGGAGTTTAAGATCCAGACATCTGGATTTTGGTTCATGTGAAGATAAAAACTCCGAGAAATTGAGGAAACGAATGGAGAAAATCATCATTTCGTCCAAGGGAAACGAGGATAACAATGTGGAGCTAGAAGAATTTCACTTTGTCACTGATACGGGGGAAGATATCCCTGTTGTTTCTGTTGATAATGTAAAGGTTGGAAATTTGAGATCTAGAAATGGTGTTATGGTGAAAGGCAATGTTGGATTGAAACCTCGGGTGGGTAGGACCATAAGATTCGACAAGAGGGGGGATGCCTATCCGGTATATGGAAGTGCCCATGAGCCGGCTTCAAATGGAGAGGAGGATTCAGTTGATGATGACGAGGAGATCTTGGTGATGTCCCATGATAATGGTGTGAGCCATAGTTCCAAAACTAGAAAAGGGGTCTTGGTGAAAGGCACTGGAGGGAAAACCAGGGTGGTAAAAACTGTGAGCTTTGATGAGAAAGGGAATGTGTATAGGGTTTATGGAGATACACCCGAGTCAAGTTCAGGTGGGGATGATGACAATTCCACGAATGGATCAAACAGTGAGAATGGAGAATATGGAGAAGAGAATGGTTATGACGAGGTCGAGGAAATCAAATGCGTCCCGAGAGAGAATAAGGTCGCTGAAGAAGAAGCTCGTTCAGAGGACGAGGAGTCTTCTTCACAGGGTAGTCAAGGGGAGATACCGCTCACAAGAAACGCAAATCATGCAGTAGAGAGTGAGTTTCGGGGTCGAAAGGGTGGCTTAATGTTCTCTCCTCCATTGCCACTCAAAATGGAACCTTGAGTTGAGCTGAGTCATGGTGAAAGGAACTGGTGCCAGCACAGAGTTACCATGTTCCGGTGACTAGTTATTCTGATGTCTGCTGTCGGGTCTCAGTGTGAATCCAATGGGAGCATTTTGTCATGTCCAAAAATGTAACACAAGGAGAAGGGTTTCAGGTTAGGTTCCTTTTGGTGGGACTTTTTCTTTTGGATTGTTTCTGGATTTTCTCTGTTCTGTATTGATTTACAGGATTTGTGTTCTTGAATCTTGAACTGATGGATCGTTTGATGAACTGTCTGTCTCCACGGGAAGTAATGCTGTTCTTTTGTGTCAGCTTCTGCGTGAGCATGAATTTCTCAGTTTAATCTTTGGTTTTTTGTTTATGGGATTCTCCCGTGATTTCGCAAACTATCCTTGTAATCTTTCCTGTGTAACATTTAATACACACAAATGTGCAATAAGAGTTCAGGGAAAAAATAATATTTTTTAATTATTTCAGACGAGGTTTATAAGAAGCCGACGAAGATATTTCGGACAAAACCTGTAAGACGCAAGACAACATTATGTCTTAAATTGAAATGAAACGCCTTTTTCTCTGCGGCCACAATTAAGAAGAAACTGATTTTATTAACTAAAAAAAAAATCACTCTCATGAAAAATGTAACAAAAAAGAGTCTCACGATTCACATACAGAAATTATATGAATAAAGATTTAAAAAAGATATTTCAGAAATGAGCGAAGAAAATAGATATCAAGAAAAAGAATCGGGCCGTGCAGATCGGTTGCCACGTCATCACCATAACCAGAGCCACCCCCACCCCCCTTCAAGCCACGGCCGGCATGTCCTTGAGCCATGGGTCGAGTGGCTTACCAATGGAGTAGACTATGAACCCAATCTCTCTTAGCTTCTCCGCGTTGACCACGTTCCTTCCGTCGAACACGAACGCCGGTTTCTGCATATTGTCGAAGATCCTCTGGTAGTCGAGGTTCTTGAACTCGCCCCACTCGGTCAGGATGCAAACCCCGTGAGCGTCCTTTGCCGCCTCGTACGCGTCCCACGTGACCGTCACTTGTTTCACGGTGGTCGGGCTCATGGGCTGCAAGTGAAGAGGGTGGTCCCAGTCGAACTTGTTCATGGTCAGGTCCCTCTGGATCTGGTCCTCCGTCACCTGCGGGTCGTATATGCTTAGCCGTGCTTTGTCTCCCAACAGGCCCTTGCACACGTCGATGGCCGGCGTCTCCCGGGTGTCCCCCGTGTCTTTCTTGAAGGCGAACCCAAGAACAGCAACCTTCTTATTCGAGACCGTGTTGAACATGGAGGAGACGACCCGGTTCACGAACCTGCTCTTCTGGTAATCGTTGATCTTGATCACTTGTTTCCAGTATTCCGCTACCTCGGGCAGGCCGTTGCACTCGCAGATGTAAACCAGATTCAGGATGTCTTTCTGGAAACACGAGCCGCCGAACCCGACGCTCGCATTCAAGAACTTGGGACCGATTCTCGAGTCCTTACCGACGGCGTAGGACACTTCCATGACGTCGGCTCCGGTGGCTTCGCATAGAGCCGACATGGCGTTGACGGATGAAATCCTCTGTGCCAAGAAGGCGTTGGCCGCCAGCTTGGAAACCTCGGCCGACCACAAGTTGGTGGTTAGGATACAGTCTTCGGGGACCCAGTGAGCGTAGACAGACTTCAAAGCTTGGACGGCTTTTAGCCCTTCTGGAGTTTCCCGGCCTCCGATGAGGACCCGGTCCGGTTTGAAAAGGTCCTCGATTGCGGTTCCCTCCGCGAGAAACTCGGGGTTCGACAGAATCTGGAACTTGATCCCCTTGCTGTTGTGGGTCAGAATCTTTTCTATGGCTTCGGCAGTTTTGACCGGGACAGTCGACTTCTCGACCACAATCTTGTCGGATTCAGACACATCAGCGATCATACGGGCAGCGCTCTCCCAGTAAGTCAGGTCCGCAGCTTTGCCGGCTCCAAGACCCCTCGTCTTAGTCGGGGTGTTGACAGAGACAAAGACGATGTCAGCTTCCCTGACGTGTTTCTCCACGTCGGTGCTGAAGAAAAGGTTCCTGCCACGGCACTGTTTCACGACGTCGTCGAGACCTGGCTCGTAGATGGGAAGCTGGTCGCTGTTCCAGGCATTGATACGAGGAACAGAGATATCCACAACTGCCACTTCAATGTCTGGGCATTTCAGTGCAATAACTGCCATGGTCGGGCCACCGACATATCCGGCTCCAATACAACAGATCTTCACCATTTTCGTAGCCTGCAGGATGAACAATAAGTCAGAAAAAGGAATTGTTCATAACTGGCCCCAACAGGATTACTTCCCAGGATGAACACCAAATCAGACAGCACCATAGAAACACAGACCGACATTGTAATAGGAGAAATAAGAAATTGTTCAGATCTGAACCACGCTTGCAAGAACCGACATCGAACACTTACACCAATTCATGCAAGTAAAACAGATCACTCATTCAAAACGAGAGAGAGATCTCGATGAAAACGGCAAGCCCATTGGACAAACGGATTATCTACCGCTGTTTCTGTCGGATCCGATCACAAATATAGCTCGATTTAGATCTGGGAAATTCAACCACCGTAAAACCACAGACCATCTCTAAACCAACACAGATCCGTACGCTCAAGCACTATGTTCCAAGTAGTCAACTAAGAAACACCGATCTAAAACCTAACCACACTGATCAACGATTTAGAGCGGAATCAGCAGAGAATCAACTACAATTCGAGATTTTTCGCCACAAAAATCCAAAATCCGACAAGAGAGGTAAGAGATTAGCGTTACCTCCGAAGATTAGCAGTGAAGAACACGGAGAAGAGGAGCAGAGACTTTCAGAGAGAAATGGCAACGACATGGTCAGAGCATGAGAAGCTCGGTGGAATTTATAGGAGGTGGGTTTCCGATTTTGCCCCTCACACAGACCAGAGACACCAAACCCTTCGGATCCGGCTCCGTTGGAGAAGCATCATTACATCTGGCATCCTCTTGCTCGAAGGAAATGGCAAAATGAGAATATGTCTGAACCAAACCTTGAAATGACGATAATACCCTTACAAGCGCTGAAACCTCTCTCTCGCGGACGACAAATAAGCAATCGAATCGATTTTGACTTGAAAGTTGGATGATTTTCTAAAATCGAATAAAAAATTATCGATTTTTTTTGAAAAATTAATATTTTTATCATAGAAACGAATTCAATCTAAAACTGAGTGTTTATAATTTTTCAAAAAATAAAACAATATCCAAAGTACTGTAACCCAAGATTACATTGTTGGGATTGGTATGATTTTATATGTTTAATCATCGTTTTTTAACCAAAACTTTCTGATATTTTTAATTTTATCACTATGTCTTGATTTTAATATTTCAAAATATAATTTTATTGCATTGTGGTTGTCGGGACCAATAAATAGTAAAAAAATTCACGAAAATATCGTTTTCTGATAATTGTTGGGATTCTCTTACATTTGGAATAGATTCGAAATCTTAAAAAAAAAAAAAGGAATAAAACATCAAAAGATAAATGTTAATTCAAAACTTACACCAAAGTGTTCATGTATGGCATAACAGATGGTAGGTGGGGGCCATTTTGGACCGTGGCAATTGGAAACTTTATACTCAAGGATGTCATGTGATTGATTGCTTAACATAGAAAATAGTCATTGAGTGTTTTTTAAGGTATTTGTAAATGATTGAGGCGATACCAAAAATAAATAATAATAATAATAAGTCAAAAAAATTTAACAATGATGTGATGTTATGAATCATATGCTGGATTCGTTACCCCATATCTCCATTTAATGTTTACCAAAAAAATTACATATATGTTGGACAATTTTCGAGTTTAATCATAATTTAAATGAACATTTTAAAAAATTATACGAGATAACAAGCATGTTATCTTTTAATAGATGTTGGAAAATATTATTAGAAATAGTTACTATTCCAAAATTTATCTTCTCTAGTAATAATATTTTTCTCACATACATTATTTAGGAATCCGTACATTTATTTTGTGTTTATAAACAAGTGAAATATGGTTTTTTTAAAAAAAGTATCGGCTCAGAATGGTGAAATTATCAAACCATCTCTCTGAAAATGTCTTTACGGGCAGATGAACAACGAGATCATAGGATTCACGGATAACATAGATCGTGACTGTTATGTACAAGCTGTCATTTCATACCTGGTGGTGCCGATGTCGTTCCCACCACTCAGATCGGTTTCGGGGTGAGCTGAAGAGAGCGGTCGCGGGTTCCTTCCTTTCATTTCCAATCAAGCATGTCCAGAAGCCACAATACCTCTTCCTTTGTGTTGGCAACATCACAGAAATCCAGCTGAATCCCAAAAACATCGATGAACCCGTCGTTTATGTCCTCGACGTCCATGAAAAGCAACGAGATCCAAGCTCGGATACCCGAGATGAAGGGGTGGCGAGGAGAAAAGTCGAGATACTCGAAAGCAAGTGCTCTGTAGGATGAGCGGTCTATATAATCGAAAACTGACCGGTTGATTATCCGGGCAACCTTATCCGAACTCTTGTCTCCCACGAGAACAGAAACACTAACAGTCTGGTTCAGAGGGATAGTAAATCTTGGCTCAGCGGGCACGATCATCTTGTAATCAGGCCTCTCGAGGTGGATTCTAAGAACGTTGCTAACCCCTGAAGGAGGGATTTTCATTCCCCCTTGCAATGCAATTCCGGGAATCACTTCCGAGTACATCAGCTTGTCGTCTGACCAGATGTCGATGAAGAATTCGAGCACGTCAAAAGACAGCCTCGGAGGAGGAAGTGCACGTTGAATCTGTCGGTTACTGAACATTTGGAACAACCTGTAATATGTGACAGTTGGAGGTCGAGATTGCTTGCAAACGGAAGGCCATTTCTTGGCACATAGAGATTTCCAGTAATAATCATCACGAGCGATATCTCTCCATTGTCTGCATACCGCCATACATGCAGCAAGATTCTCACCGTCAAGCAAAGGAAAAACAGCCTTCAAAACTTCTTCAGAGGAAGACATTTTACGCCGTCTGAGCACTAGCAGAATATCATTCTTGATCTACTAGTGCTAGATCGTTTTCAGATGAAAAGGGCAATAGAATGAGAACTATCCTGTTAAAACGAAGATAACAAGCCAATGAACAGAACGGTTAGAGACAAAACTGGATTCTAGACAGGAAAAACCGAGACAACAAAAATAGTACGACTATAAGGCGATTTCGCGCTAATCAGAACAAACATCATGGATTACGTGCTGATGAACCAAAACTGAGAAATCAGAGTATCTATAAGTACCCTTTAACCTTTTTTCCAGAACGGGATATTCCAAAAAATGGTTATTTCTATTCAAAACCTGAATGTGGAAGGTTTCATCTTGCTTAGAAGATGAGGAAAACGCAAATTTCTTCGAGAACCAAAGTGGGATTAAGACCAAACAACTACGGGATTAGTTCATTCAACCTAACCATCAAAACCCATATACTCAAATCTCAAATGTGAAGGCTTAATTTAGCTATGTATTACACAGCACAATCTGCATCTACACCATTAAGCATAATTCGCAAGACAAAAGAGGACTATAGGATCGAGATCAGTTCAAGTAATCAGGAGGAACATTTTAGACGAAATGGCAAATCTCTATACCGGAAAAGACCATCAGCCCGTCAGAGTTAACAGAATCGACCAAATCGATTCACGTTTGAGGAAACGTAATCTAACAGCAGATAGGAAAATTAATCAGAATCGATCACATTTAATAGGAAAAACGATCAGAAATCGGATTCAGGTGAAAAACACAAACAAGTATCAAATCGTAGCAACATCGAAACAGAACACAATCATCGCCAAGGGAACCGAGAAACATGAATATCGAAATCTACCTCTGAAATACTAGGGCTCGGATTCTGCGATCAATTCGAAGCCAATGGAGAGAACGAGAAGGTTTACATGAACAAATAAGAAACTGGGAAAATTTTCGTGGATAATTAGGGAAAGGGAAAGCACGAGAAAGCCAGCGAAGACTAAAGACGATGACTTTGATTGGGAGATACTCTCACGAAATGGGCCTTGGCCCATGACAAATAAATGGGCCTAAACTAGACCGACACAGACACTATGTGTATGCCCAAATTTGCATGGCCTTATGCAAAAAAAAATAAAAAATAAAATAAAATAATGGTTGAAATGAAAAGCGAAATAATAAAAATGACATTTCATTTTTTCCAACAAAATAAAAAATCATGGTATCTAGTACCCTGTTAAAATGGAAAGAAGTCGGATTAATGTGTAATATGTGGGTGGATATTTGGATTTCATTTATATTTTATTTCTTCTATTTTTAATATTTATTAGATTTTTAAGATAATTATATTTTTCTGTTTAAATATGTATATTTTATGTATTTTATAATTATGTTTATATTTAGATCATTTGTTTGGTCAATTTGATTTTAAAAAGATAGTTACCATTTAGATTGGAGATTGGATTCGATTTAAATATAATTATTTACTATTCAATTGATTTGATTCAATTTTATATAATACCAATTCATAATTATCACTACTCCACCAATATCCAGTTGTATTATTGCAAAATCCATTATTCCGGTCCATGGTTACGGATTTGTGGATAAGAGAAACAGAGATGTTATGCATTTGGCCAGTGATTTCATAAATATTTAGAACGTACAAATTGCTTGAACCGAATATCTTGGAATTTCTCTATAAAGATTTGACAGAAGCACCATAATTGATAATAATAATAATAATAATAATAATAATAATAATAATAATAATAATAATAATAATAATAATAATAATAATAATATTAATAATAATAAAGCGGAAAGAGGACAAAAACAGTGTGGCATGGGGGACAAGGCAAAACGGGTCAGTGACTCAGTGTGGGATCCCCCCACCCAGACTGACTTACCGAGCCTCCATGTTCAAGGGTCAGGGCTCCACTATTTCCTCGTCAATTTTATAAAAAAAAAATAATCAAATTTAAATAAAAACTGTAGATAAAGATAGTAACGAATGAATACATTTTAAAAAATGAAAATTTTTTATTCCAAAAAATTACGGTGATCAAAATATTTAAAACCCTAATGAGAAAACACCACAATATAACCGATGAAACTCTAACATGTGATTGATTGGTCGATGACCATAACATAGAAGAATTCACAGGCATTGTTTGGGCAAATTAAGATCATGTACATGCATGAAGTGCCGAAGGAGCGTGGCACGTGGCATTACCATCCACAAAACATGGTTATTACATGCATCACATACATGCATATGTGACATGCAAAAGCAAGATGATGTTGGCTTACGTGGAAACTGCGAAATGGTTGAACGAAAAGATGTTTCATCAGACATCGATTCCCGCTTGTAACGTTGCGTTAAAACATCATATCGGACATTCCCTCCATCATATTGTCCCTCACCCCGACACTCACTAAAGCACAAAACTTGTGCTCTCCCACTGACCCCTCCCACCACATATACACACATATTACATATATACATGTGCGTATATATATGTACGCTATGATGATGAGCTCCGAAATACTACGCTTCACCATGTTATATTATATAAAACAAGACATGTGCATGTATATACGTACATCCGAAACAGGAGTACTCGTAGATGAATGAATCATGTACGTATAATAATTGCCGTTCCGACTAGTGTATATATAGTCGCATGCAGTGGATGTGTGTGTGTGTGTATATGTACATGTATATATATATAAGAAAATGAGGGATGCATGCAGGGAATGTGGAGAACATGTTAGACATGACATGCTGCATATCTCTGTCTCGCTTACCCTTTTTCCTTGTGTCCATGTGCCATTCCTTTCACATGTTCCTTCTTTTCTTTACCCAAACCGACTTTCGGTCGGGTCTGCTGAATTATGATTATATGATATTCTTATTAATGGAACTATATACACCTAATCAACATTAACTATAATATATATATATTATAATATTGAGTGAAAAATTATCTAATTTTTGGATAATCAAACAATTCAAGTTCGTAAATCGTGATATTTATACGTCGGTTTCAGATTTATATTAGTTGAATGAAATATATTTTATATTTATTAAAATAAAAATTATAAAACTTCAGATATCTATCGTAAATTTATATAATTAATTTTTTTTCTTTTGTTTGAGATTACAAAGTAATTCTAAGGTATTTATTAAAATTTATATAACTATTTTTAATGTATTGGAATCCACGTATCCGTAGATATACATATAGATAATATTTTGAATTTAAAATTTTAATATTGCTCGTCTCTGCGACATGATATGTGAATTACATGAAAATATATTTATTATTTATAACTAGAAATTTATTTATTATGTTATGTATATTACAAATCCGTGCTCCAATGAGGGATTTGGTGCCCCATATCGCCTTCACATGCGGAGGCCATACCATCCGTTTACATCTCTCTCTCTCTCTCTCCTATGTTCTTTCTTTATCACACTAATTATCCTTAATTTATATATAAAATCGAATTTTACGATAGAGAATATCTAGATAATTATAACCATGTTAATATATATTAAAAATTACGATATTATCTTAAATCTCTTAAAAATTGTAAAGTTATCATTTATCTTTTTGATTTTTTTTTTTTAAATAACAAAATACTATCTTTTTTGTTTACAAAATTTACATTTACATATTCAAAATCCACAAGTATATGAATGAATTTTAAATTTTAATATTCAAATATTGATTCGTATATCCTAAAATTTTCTAATACCAAAACATATGAATTATGACCCGGCAAAATTTTAATAATCTTCAACTTCATATTATTTTACGGGCAAAGATCCTTTTACTTGCAAATGCAAATGCAAATGCAAATGCCACCGGTCCCAGTTTTCCCGCGTTTTTATTCATTCTTTCATTTGAAATTGGGTAGTCTTTTCATGTTATTTACGGTTTCACCCTCCCGCATGTCTCTTCAAAGTTCAAACCCAGAGGTGTCCGTACGTATGTACACATGCATGGATTTGGAACCTACGGCCCCCCAGCTTCGACTTAAAAAAATAAATAAAAATTGACATTTTTATAATATAAAATGCCACCTCGAAATATCGATCTGTATTTGCATAATTATATTAAGATAAGAGCACATTTGAATTTTAAGAATAAAAAAGACACTTTTTTTCTCTTTGCATCTTTATTCATGTTGTTCATAAATCCTTATAACATGCAAGGTTTTTGGCGATCCTCCTATTTGCAGAAATATGAGATAGGTGGTCGTCAAGGATTTCCCAAAATTTTTTTAACAAATATTGTCGATTAAAAAAATCTCTGAATCCAGAATCCGAATTTTAATCTAAATTTTATTGAATTAAAAAGGTTGATTTCAATTTTATATCACGTAAATAACTAATTTAGATTTTTTTTAGTTTAAAAAAAATTGTCCAACGCTGGCTTCCTCGTAATAAACGCACAACTCCGATGGCTATTCCGTATCACGAACCTTACTTATACCCACCAGACTCCATTCTCTCTCTCCCCATCTCCAAATTTTCTCTCTTTCTCTCTCTAGATGAGAACCTTAAAGGCTCAGCAACCGAAACCCACAAGAAGAGGAGGAAGAAGAAGAAGCTATAACAAGTTTACGAGAGCACATGTTTCACGTGTGAGAAATCTCGGCACGCGCTGCAGTGGAAGGAGGAGGCTGTCGGAAAAGCTCCGGGAGCTGAAGAGCCTTCTCCCTCCTTCGGCGGCGGAGGACCACCGGGAAGACGGAGGCGGAGCCACGGAGGAGCTGTTCCGAGAGACGGCGGAGTATATAATAAGGTTGAGGACCCAAGTCTTGGTGTTGCGGAAGTTGGTGGAGATCTCTGGATCTTCCGAATCTGACCATGATCAGACCGAAGTTGTAGTTTCATAACGTTTACTTTCATATATGTGTACGTATTGTTTTTCTATGGCTTATGTAACGTAGCCGATGTTTAATGTTTTATTTTAGCATGAGGACAAAAAAAGAGTTAACGTTAAAAAACTCGGATTTTTACGTAGGAAAAAAAGCTTATATATAATCGATATATATATATATATGTGTATGTGTAATTTATGAACATTGGTGATTGAGAATTTTTGGTCCCTACCATGTGCCCTCTTTACTCGATCGTTCAATGCTTTAAAAAATCCCGAAAAACTAAATTGTTTTAAAAGAAATCTATCTTTTTTTAATAAAAATCGGAACCGAACCAGTACCGAAATCGAACTGAACCGAACATAATATAAAAACTGATTGGTACCTATTTTTGGAAAACCGAACCTCTCATCTCGAACCCAAACCGTTTTCCGAAACGACCACCCGTAGTGATCCAAGTGCAAAGTAGTAAACGTGAAAAGCTTTATACGGGGACATGTACAGTATATGCTAAGCATAACTCCTGCATAGTTGGTCCTGTTTCCCTTGGGAATTTCGGATCCAATACAACATGAAAACAATATTTTATGGGCCTTGTCCACTCTTCATCATCAACAATATGAACATTGTTACTATGGTATTAAATATATACACACTTGCGTATAGGTATTTACAATATACATCTTTCACATGCCCCCGTTTTACTTAATTTATAAAAAAAAAACTATCTGTAAATTTATGCAAAAATCATATGATATAGAAAGATCACTCGGTTAATAAGACAAATCATATGGGTCTAACGAAGTATCATTCATTTGTTAAAGGATCTTACAATTTTCCAATCTAATGTTTCAAAATAAATTACAAGGGAACGGGAATTTCGTGGGGCTTATGGAGCAGGGGGAATAATCTGGTGTTTCGCGGAATTATTGTGTATCATATGGTTGCAAAAAGTGACGGTTGGATGAGGGTGATTGAATACCAACGGTGAAGATTGCATATTAAACTCCGTTCGAAGGATCATGCTTGTAGACGAAAAAACATATAAAAAAAACGAAAAAAGCGGGGGTGATTCTAGAAATCCTGGATATTGTGTTACAATTTTGTGGATAAAATTTGGGATTTTGCAATTGCTGATTCGTGATTGTTTCCTCCGGAGCCGTGGAATCGTCAGAATTCCGATTTTTTGAGTCGGAGAACGGCGGTTAGATGACGGAGGACCGGGACGGTGCTAGGGTTTCTCCGACCGATTCGATGGCCGCGCCAAGCGATACTTCTCAGACGAGGCACAGGTACAGATTCGATTCGATTCGATGTCTCTTTATTCAGAAATTAATGTGGGTTTTCATCTTGGTGATTGTATAACGATCCAAATTGTTCGACCCTGATTCGTTTTTGGCTCACCTGTCGAGTTCTCATGTCCTGAAAATTCGATACTCTCGATTCCCTTGATGCTTTGTCTGTACAGTTTGCTTTGGTTATTTGATTTGATTTGAGGAAATTGGGAACAAGTGCTAAATGCTCCAAATTTGGGCATTTGAAGTTCATGTGATGGTTATATTGATCTTCAGTCCCTAGCCATTAGTATACTTAATCAGTGCACTTGCCCATTGGGTGCGACAGGAAGAAGAGAAAGTGGGATCAGCCCTCGGAGCAACTTGTTTCAGCTGGAGTTGCTGCTCTTCCCGGGTTACTCCCTTTAGGCAACATGGGCGTTGTTGGTTCATGTGTTTCGCCCTCTGTTCCTGCTATTACCAGTTTAAACACAGTTGCTGCTGCTGCTGCTATTGCAACTGTGGCCCCATTGTTCCAAACGCTTTCTTCGCCTCAACAAACTGCAGCAGTGGCGAAACTAAATCAAGTAACAGTTCTTGCACTTTTAGGGTCAACCTTTTTTGTTACATCAGCTGTAACTTTATGCATTTGAGATAGATGATATATCCAGTGAACTATTGGGTTCTTTAATGAGCTGCGAGCTGCTATGTTCTTGAAATCGTATAGCAAAAAAGTAAATGCCCTTATCATTCTCTGGTCGTTGTTTTCATTTTGCCATTAGTTTGTTCAACTGTTCCGCATTGAGATTCTCAGGTTCCAATAGAGTCCAAAGCTGCTGCCGGCTTTATGTACAAGCTTTATTTCAATCATATATATATTTACTAAACCAGATTCATTTGTTTTCTTATCCGTCCAGCCTAAGCATGAAGAGTTAACAATAGCACGAGAGATTGTAATCAATGATGCTGAGGCTTCTATTAGGCACAAGCTTACCAAGCGCCAGACTCAGGAAGAAGTAAGTATACACACACATGTATGTATATATCTGGAAGGTAGTCATTTCTTTTCTGTATTTTATAGCATCTATTTTCTTCATCTTGCAGATTCAAAAGTCCACTGGTGCTGTGGTGATTACTAGGTTTGTCTGCCATTTAAGCAATGGAGAAGATACTTTTACTGTTATCTTTTCTGGATTTCATTGATGAATTTCCTGGTTGATTTTGTAGGGGCAAGTACCGTCTACCAAATGCACCGTCTGATGGTGAAAAGCCTTTGTATCTTCATATATCTGCAGCATCACATGTATGTTTTCCTTTTCCGGTCTTATGGAACACTAGTTCAGGGGCATCAAAATGACTTAGATATTTATTGGTTATAGTGGTAGGTAGTGATGCTGGAGATGCTCTTCAGCACACGAAAAATGTAACATGTCAGGCCTGTGAAAGGCAGAAAATAAAATTTTTCATGTTATTGTCCAGTTCTGCAATGCATTGATCGGACGTCCACTGATATTAATTACAAAACATATTCTGCACTTCTTGGGGAAATTTGGTCTGGATGTTTAAGTTCTTGATTACTGCTCCAGTTAAAAGAGACTGCAGAACGAATATTAGCAGTTGACCGTGCAGCTGCTATGGTTGAGGAAATGATGAAACAGAATTCAAACTCTCAGGCTGGATTGATTGGTTCACAGATGGTCAAGGTAGATGACCTGATACTTCTATTTTGCAGTTGTGAGATTTGGGTAGTGACATCGTTTCTTAAAAACACAAACTGAATCGTGTTTTGCAGCCGCTGAGCACATGTGTGTATTTGGGATTTGAAGCTGATCCATCATGCAATGTTGCTGCTCGTATTCGTGGACCCAATGTGAGTTTTCTTTCAACCCCTTTGTCTCTAGTTTGATATTGTGCATTTTTTAATGTATCCTAAGAGGAAAGTTACATCACATTTCTTATTCAATTGTTTATCTGAATGGATACTCATATATGTTAGTCGATTTTCGTAGTTTGTCAAATTTGCTCTGCACATATGCTTTTTAGTCTTTGTATCTCATTCAATGAATTCAAGAGATTCTAATGTTGAAGCTTTCCCTGACTTCTCCGTGCAATTGGGAGAGAACGTTTTTGTGTTGGTGGTGGTTGGGTTTCCTACCTGCAGGATCAGTATATAAATCACATTATGAATGAAACAGGAGCAAGTGTTGTACTAAGAGGGTGTGGTTCAGGTCATCATGAGAGCCAACATGGAGAAGGTATGGTTCACCTTGTGCTTTTTTCTTCACCTAATTGTGAAAAAGGTACCATTTACAGAAGGTTGACAAATTTTGCATCACATAAAGTAATATGTCTTTCAATGTTGCACAAATTATTGCAGAAGCACAGCAACCGTTGCATTTATTATTGTCCAGCTGCAATCCAAAGAGCCTTGAAGAGGCAAAACGATTAGCTGAGAATCTTTTGGATACAATTAGTATAGAATTTGGTGCTTCGAGGTAATCTTATTATTTTGATTTAGAATGTCTTCCTGAATTCCGTCTGTTTGTGCTAGCTGTATTCGCAGCTGTCTCAATGTTATCATCTTTCTTCTGTCATTAAACTGCATTCGCGAAGGTTATTTTTCCTTCTAGATCTTTTCTTGTCAGAATTATGCTACTAAATTGTTTTACCGCTCTCTGACGCATTTGCTAAGTTGTAAATGGAGTTGATTGTTCTACCAAATGTTTCAGGATCTCATCAAATAAAGTGTATGGTGCAGTCCCACCACCACAGCAACTGCTCTCTGGATCTCAGGGTTCTGAAAATGAAAAAACACCAAGTTTGAATTCAACATGTGGATTGATGTCATTGTTACCTGGCATAACTATGCCTAGTCCTGTCAGTGCGTTTTCTGCTACTCCAGCAACCACTCTTTATCCTCAAGGTTCAGTTATGCAGCCTCCAGTGATGTCAAATGGTGGGTATTCTCACCCAAATCCAGTAAGTTACCCTCAGGCTTTGGCAGGAGGAACTAGCTACAGTGGATATGCCGGAATATACCCTCAAGCCACACCATTGCAACAAGTTGCCCAAGTCCTTAAGCAGTCGATTTCTCCAGTCACTTCCATAGTCCCACCTATTGCGTCAACATCTATGACCGTGTCGAAGCCAAGTGATAGTTCATGTAAGGAAAAGGAGAAGGAGAGGCATCTACCACCAAAGCGGAAGTTTCAAGAGCTACCAGCTGGTTGCAAGGTCCCTGCAAAAGCCAATCAGGTAATAGCACAATCTTTTTCCATGTTCTTAGTTCTTTGAACAGTTGTCTTGCATACCAGAGTTCTATAGAGGACCTGCAATATAACCTTTTGGCTTTGAGAACTGATTTTTTTTTTTCAAATTCATCAATCGTACTAGAACTTGGGATTTTATATCGTGCTGACATGTTCTGCTTAATATTCCAGGTATTTATCTGAACCACTAAGAAGCTAACTGGCTGATTCTGGACCCATGGGCCATTGGTTTGCATGTTTCACAGGGTATCTTGCTTTTTGGAACCACTATGGTCGGACATTCTCGATCAACTATACGCTCAAAGCCTTGTTCAGGCTATTAAATGTTGTGTCACGGCCGTGACAGTGTCTCCCTGTCTGGATGATGACTTGCATGAAATTTTTGCATCTTGCTTTTCTATACATTAGCACTTTCGCATTTAAGTTATCATTTTCTGACGCCCATTTGAATGAAAATTAACCAGTATACGCATTCTTTGGTTGTCTAGTCATCATCATCTGAGCTCGGGCTGATTATCTTATGCAACCCGTAGATTGTACACCTATGCTGGAGTGAGAACTGAGAACTGAGAAGGGGTGTCTCATAATACTCTGCATATGAATCTTCACCAATTTAGAGTACCTAAGTCTAGCTTTTGTCATACCCACCCATTTGTGGTGAAGTTCGGTTTTAGAACGACCATATATTTACATGATCCATGGCTTTTTTTTGCGTTCTCTTTATCATTTTCTATTGCCTTCATCATATGATACTTCTGTGCATATTTTGACACACTATATATAACCCACTCTCTGACCGCGGTCGGGAAACTGGCCGTGAATGTTCATTTTCCTGTCAACTTGTTGCAGTACTCAGAACCAGTGAAGTCGGGCGACCCAGTTCCTAAGAATACAGTCCAACCATCAGCAAATGGAATGCCGCCACCGAAATCCATGATGATGCCACCTCCACCCCCGCCAAAGACCATGCCTCCTAGGAGCTCCACTCCATCATCGAGAAGTATGCCCCCTCCCCCACCGCCGAAATTTACGCAGCCATCGCCACTTTCAAGATCACTTGAACCCACCACCGTTGCCCCCAAGGAAAAATCCGATCCAATCCCAGGTATGATTTTGGAAAACAATGACTGGAGCTGGTGGGTGTTTTGCAAGAATCACGATATGATCCACTTGTGGTCGGATTTTTACAGATACTTTGGTGAAGCTGATGGAGTATGGAGACGATGACGAGGAAGAGGAAGATGACACTGATGAGACCAGAGCAGGGTCTTCAAGGGGCGACTCCAACGGAGGTGCCGTACGGAAACCGTTCTGGGCCGTATAGCATGATTTGGTCGGACCATCCAGATTAGACATGAGTTTCCCACCTTTGTTATGGTAACAGTAGAAATGGCTGCTTTGCACGGAATCATGGTGTGATGAGTGGAGGAGGGCCTTCTGTTGTGTTTCTATGGTTTTTTTTAGTTGAAGAAGAAAGCTTCTCGTCATGGTTTATGCAGTGATTATATACTCATCTCATTCGGTACAAAATTAATGACGACTGTTCGTCTGCTAGATCTTGTTTCTCCTTAAAATAATCAACTTCTGCATCGGTCAAATTATTTATACTCAATCATGAAGTTCCTACAACGTCGTTGTTATTACGCCAATGATTATACATATAGATATAGATATATGTAGAGAGAGCATCGCGTAAGAATACATGTATGAATAGGAAAAAAAATGTGAAAAAGAAAAATTGATTTCAAGTATATATTACTTGTAGAACGGACCGACCGATGTATGCATACGATATGAAATTACGGAACGTGATGATACCTACGTAATGTGCAAGATCGACAAGCGGACCCCACAAAATCCTCTAACTGCGAACTTCACTTTTTTTTGTCGCACTCACCTGGATCTCCGAAACGTGTCTCCATCTGAAGACGTACACGTGTCACTTTCTATTCGCAGCGTTAGAACAGCTAAGACCAATTAAACCGCGTGACCCATACAACTCATGTTCTATAATTCTATTTTACTGATTACCCAAACGAATTTTAAAAAAAAAAACTAATACAACGACAAATAACTTTGAATGGACGGACCATCACACACTCCACAAAATAAAGCCGACCATGACGAATCTATAATGAGAAATAAAAAAAGGACAGAAAACGCTAATGAGATGCTAACATTATTATATAAAATTATCATCACACAAAACCCATTTTATATGGTACGGAACAAATACATAGAACCAATACTTGGACAGAAAGCTCATATGAGTATTTTACAGATTAAGTTCAATTCAACCCATCATTGAACAAAGAAACCACCTTATCCATCTCTCTCTTCTCCAAACACAATCCCATCTCTATGCCACCAACCTCCCCATCCCTCTTCTCGGCCATCGAGAACGCCTCGGACTGGTCAATCGATATGATCTCCACCTTATCGGGTCTCCCCCACCCGAAATCCGACCCGTATATCCCTAGCCGGGTCGACCCGGCTGCCGACCCCAACTGCGAAACCCTCCTCGCGCTCTTGAACCCTTCCTCGAACTCCTCCGGTATTGTCTCCATCCTTCTTGATTCCAGACTCTTCACCATGTCGCTAAGGATCTGGACCGCCGTGCCAAAACCCTTCTCTTCCATAAATGCCCCTGCCGTCTTGTCGTGGCAAATCACCGGATAAATGCAGTTCCCGAAGTATGTCGCCGGCAACGGTGGGTCAAACCGGTGCCTGTAATCGGCGACGAAGATTAGAGCGACCGGTCGATGCGCGTCACCTCCACGCGCATTTACGAAGCACGTCCATAGGTATGCATATGCGATGACGAAGGACGAGAGGTGATGCCCTTGATGGGACGGTAGCTCGTTCTTGACTCGCTCCCGGAGTTTCTCGATGTTCTGACGGGTTAACTCGAGCGTGACCCGGACGACGTCGGGTCCGATCTCCAGGGGACTAAACAGCTTCAGGGTCTTGTGTTGTGTGAAAGAAGACAGCAGTTCCAACATCTTCGCATCAAGATTGGTCAGATCTTTTATTAGAGAACGATCAAAACTGGGAGTCAGATCATCTGGTAGAGGAACAGGTCCTATATTTTCGTGTTCTTGGTGTTGTTTGCATGTGTGAGCCCAGGCTTTGATAAACATGCTTGCCGTTTTTCCGTCAAGAACGGCGTGGTGTCCTGCCATGCCTATGCAGAAGCCTTGGCTCGGAAACAACGTGATTTGCAGAGAAACAACGGAGGCTGAGTCATCGGAAACCGGTAACTCGGGCACCAAGAGGCGTAACTCGCTCTCCTGACGTTGACCATTGCCTGAAACTCGAGAGAGATCGGCGCCTGTCACTGCTACTGTGAGCGAAACGGTGTCGTTCTCCGAGACGACGATGCTCGGTTTTGGCTCTTGCGGGTCCCACGTGATGCGTCCGGCGAGAGGTAGGAAATGGCGGAGGACGCCGGAGAGAGAGTGCTTGAGCCTAGGGAGGATGACCGACTCGAATAACTCGCGAGTTGAATCGGTGAGTCTGTAGAAGAAGACTCGTTCCACGGGATGGAATCTCAGCCAGGGTAAGTCGAAGAAAATGAGGGGGAGATTGAGCGAGTAGGCCGAGCCACGGGTCGAGTCTTGTGCCGGGCTGACTCGGGCGAACTCGATTACTTTTAGTGCCATTGATGACGAAGGTTACAAGAAGGAAGATGGCGAAGCAAGAAGATCTCTTGAACATGATTTAATACCGACACGATTCAGATAAGATAATAATAAGAGCAAAGGTGAATAATTGAAGGGGAAACCCACGTGAGTTGTCAAAGTAGTATTGTCAACATATACCCAGAGGTTCGAGGTCGACTTTTTTGCCACTCAACCGCCTACTGTTATGTGTAAATGACGACCGTTTTACCTTTCTACGTGTGTATTGTAGGCTCGTGCGTATAGGAATGAGATTCTATTGTCCGCGATGGTGTCAGATGTCGTTTTCGTCTCATCTATTGGACTGAGAAACGCTGCGGTATCTAATCAGAAAGATTATAAGTCAGATTTTCTCACTATACACCAAAAAAAAAAGTGAATAATTGAAAAACTAATAAAACTATCAAAATATTTTAAATTTTATAAAACTAAATCTGTTAAATGAATAAAATGTAAAACTGTCTTTAAATTAAAACCCTTACTAAAAAGTAAAACCTAATCTACATACGAGAACAAGGTAAACTTTCCTATTAAAAACAATAAAATGTTTTCAAAATTTCTAGAACATATATTATTCTATTAATTTTCTCATTTAAATAATTAATAATAATTTGTAGTCAATAGTTGAGAAAGGGTTATCCGATCAACTAAAAGAAGATTTGATATAGTAATTCCAAAACAATATATATATATATATATATATTATATCATTCTAGAATGATAGGCGAAGAAGCAGCATCCACGCCTATGAACAACCAAATCTTTAAAGTGTTCACTTGACATATAATAAGTATAATAGTAAATAAATAAGAAAAACTACATTAAATAATATGCCATATTAACATAATCTTCTTAATATTTATATATATACATATATTTTAAACACAATAAATAGATCTTTATAATTTCCGATGTAAAGATCATTGTCGGTTGAAAGCATTCAAATATACATAGATGTGTATATATATGCATATATGCGTATATATATATTCGTGTGTACTCATGTATATATTTATATATGTGTAGGCATATGATTTTATGTATATATGTGTATATATATACGACATATGTATATATATATGTAACAAATGTATGTAAGGGCGGATCCACTCATATTTGAGTGGGTCCCATACCCCAATCAAAATTTTAATTCAATTATAATTTTATTAAATTTTAATGAGAAATAGTAAAATAACCCATAAAAATTTTTATGGACCCCCTCCACTCTTTTTTGCCTTTTTTTTAAATTGTCTCTTAAAATTAGATCATACGTCAACATTTACCCCCACTAATAATCTCTCCTGCCTCCTGTACGGATATATGTATGTTTATTTTGTATTATTTAAAAAACTGTGATATTGTAAAAAAATATATGACATGACGTTTACTTGGTGAAATAATTAATCCGTTAGATTTTAATGCCGTTAGTAATAATTTTGGAAGTTGTTATATTATTATGTTATTTTGAAAAAATATTATATTTATTTAATAAATTAAGAATTCGAGTTCCTTTTTTCGCATATTTTAAAGAATTGGCGTATTTTTTGTGCAATTATTTTCGTACTTGTACTATATATATAAATGTACATATTAATGGGCATTTAACCACAGTGAAAGTGATAATTGTTGCATATCTAGTTCCGATAAATATACTACAGAACATCTTACATATTTGTTTAGTGTATTATGTAAATTAGTAAATTGAATACAGAATACATATATGTGTATTCTGAAAACAACTTTATTTGCATATAATAATTAATTTGTAACTTTACCTCGATCTCGGTCTCGTCACATTATTGATGGAAAATCATGAATAATACAAAATATTTCATATCTAAATAATATAAATTTGGTCTAACATCATCCAAATCATATAAAAAATACATCATAATCTAAAACACCAATCCATAAATTGGACATAAAAATTGAGAGACATTGAACATTAGGATTAGGGTTAGGTATTTTAGTGTATATATCAAGGGTTTTTTAAAAAAAAATTATTAGTCGGTATCCGTGAGATAATGCATAATAAAATACATAAACCCGAATCCGAATTCCCTTTTTTTCGCCTTATAAAACCTGATATTGATTTCATTGTATTACGAGTAATGAAATTTGGATACCCGTGGGATAAATTACCCATCATCTGTTCAGTGATGTAGATTCTACAATTTAACAAAATATTATAAAAAAAGTATTAACATACATACATGGTTATTATTGGCATTCAAATTTTACAATTTAGTAAAGATGGTTGTTGGGCCTCACGACCCATGTTGGTGAAAAAAACGAAACCCTCCGCGAGAGGGAGAGGCTTTCCGAAACGTGGCATTTTGGACATTAGGGTTAATACCCTAATGTGTTGGTTCTTCGATACTCAGATGAAACGCGTGGCTCGAGGAGAGAGAGAGGGGTGAGAACGGAGAAGGCAAAAGGGAATCGCGATGACGGTGCTTTTCGGCGACGGCGAAGCCCAGACCGGCGGTGACTCGGCAAAGGCGAAGGAGGTAAGCGTCGGTAAGAGTCTCGTCCCCCTTCCCTTGTGGTTTATCGGTGAGCCTCCGATCTTTGTGTGGAGGGCCGCTGTGTTTCTTGTTCTCCAGTTGTTTCGATCGACTCTAGTGGATTCGCCGGTACCGTCCGGCCGAGATGTAGGCCCGAAGAAACTCGATAACCGAACTCGTTAAAATCTGGCCGATACACACTTCACAATGGTCTATGTCCGATCTCTGTGACTATCACTCATAATTGGTACGGTCGACATTTAATTTTAATTTATCGTCCCAAATTGTAAATGCAAAGAACAAACTGGAATATTTTGTTACATAAACAGCTCACACTCTTTTTTTTTTTGTTTTTTTCTTACTTCAAACCATTTTGAAACAAAGAAATAAAAGTTTCCACTTCAGGCTTGACCAAAGACAGCCCAATCTCCACACCATTGGTCCCATCTCTTGTCTCCGCCATAGAAAATGCTCGGCTCTCATCAATGGAGATAACCTCCACCTTAACCGGTTTTCCCCACCCGAAATCCATCCGGTATACCCCTAACCGGGTTGACCCTGCTACCGACCCGACTTGCATACCCGGTTTCACCTTCTTCATTCCCTCCACGAGCTCCTCATAGATTTCCTCTATCCCTCTTGAGCTCAAGCCCTTTACCAAGTCGCTGACCATTTCGACCGCCAGAGCAAAACCCTTCTCTTCCATAAAGGGCCCTGCTTTTGCTTCGAAGCAACCCACCGGAACAATGCAGTTCCCGAAGTACGTCGCCGGCGCCGGCGGGTCTAGCCGATCTCT